GACACATGGCATCTCGAAACAACTAGGTGACACCTAGAACCACCTAGGCGATAACTTGCCTTAGCCAAAATGATGGAGTCCCAGCTAACGACCTGCCTCTAGCGCTGACCTGGCGACCTACCTCTGGTGCCAACCTAGCAACCTACCTCTGGTGCCAACCTAGCAACCTGCCTCTAGCGTCGACCTGGTGACCTGCCTCTAGCGCCGACTTGGCAACCTGCCTTTGGCGCTAACCTGACGACCTGCCTCTAGTGCCAACTTGGCGACCTCCCTCTAGCGCCGACCTGGCAACCTGCCCCTGTTTCCAACCTGACAACCAGCCTCCACCGTCGACTTGGCGACCTTCCTCTAGCGCCAACCTAGCGACCTACGAGACGTGCTCGCCGTCGATTTCTACATGCATCCCATCACTCCTGGGTCTCTCGGAAGTCAGCTCTCACACCAAATGTTTTGGGAGAAATCGAGTAAGGCACAAAGATTGGCCTACGTGCACGACTACCTCCGAGGACTTCGGAGCAGTTTGGCACGTCCTTCCGAAGATCCCGGATGTGTTGCATGATGCTCACGCCAAACAATGCCTATATAAAGGCCTTACCTCCAACCCCGAGGGAGAGGCACAATTTAGTTCTCGCAACTCTCCAGCTCTTTCACATTTAGCTATCTTAAAATCTCTGATTCGCTAACTTAAGCATCGGAGTGCCCACCTCGGGTAAAGCAACTTAGGCACTCTGACATTGTGTCCTTGCAGGTCGCATCAGAGCCACCTCTCTAGCTCGTCACCATTCAGCTAGGTGTCAAAGCCACATCTCCAGCTCGTCACCATTTAGCTAGGCGTCCAAGTCACCTTCCAGGTAGGAACCATTCAGCCAGGCATCCAAGCCACATTCCAGGTAGGGATTATTCAGCCAGGCATCCAAGTCACCTGCCAGCCGGGAGCTGCCAAAATGCGCTTCATCATTGTTATTTTCAAAAATTAAATGCAACACCTTTTGGATGCTATCAATATCGTTATCTGAAATTGGATATTCCATCTTCATTACATTGGTCCAGTAGTTAATTGTCCTCTCTCTCTCCCTCCCTCCTTCCTTTGTCCTCTTTTTTTGTTAACTAAACGAGTCCATTGGTCATTTTTTCTCTTCTCATCCCACTTGTTTCTTCTCCATTTTCTTCTTCTTCTTCTTCTTCTTCTTCTTCTTCATTGAAGGAGGGTATGTTTAACTCTTGTAGGGTTAACTTACATGGTATATTTAAGTTTTTTTTTGAAAAATATAGGACATGTTTATTAAATCAATTTATGAAAACTCAGGGTATGTTTAAATCTTTTACCCTAAACTAGTAAGTGTGCATGTGTTTTGCACATAGCAATTCTAGATGATGATAATGATAGTAATAATATCCAAATTTTCTATAAACTTTATGTATTATATATACATATTGTTTTTATTATTAATTGGATGCATATTGGAAAGTCCAAATATGATTACATAAATACCTCATCCAAATGTGTGATAATCAGACAAGTTGTGAACTTTCAAGTATCATTGACAGAGCTACCTACTTGGCTAGACTACTCTTTTTGTAATCTTTTATCTTTTAGGTGTATCTTCTTTTTTTATTTATTTATCAAAAAAATGTAAGATTTAAATAGAGGGAATTGAATGAGGTGAAAAGTAGTAGTTTAATTTATAATTTAAACCTTACAATTAAATAATGACTAAATTCAAAAATGAGTATTTTAGTCAAAAGATAGTTTTACAATCTTATTCATATTTTTAATAAAAGAGTAAACATAGAATTACAGATGTATTCATTTTTTTTTCTATATTTTTTTTTGTAAAAATAATTATGATATGTCATATTTACTTTTTGTTTAATATGATAAATATATGATATTACACATGTGCTTGAATGCTTTTTTTGCAAAATTTATATATTTTTTTTCATTTATATATTTATATATTTTATTAATTTTTATTATTTATTTTTGACATTAAAATTAACACATTTAAGCCAAAAGTTGAACTATTTATTATTAATTATTAATTTTCATTTTGGCCAGTTCTAAATTATGTATTTCATTTTCATTATCAATAAAAATTTTTATTGTTTATTGCACTTATTTTTTTAATTTGACTAATAAAAATATCATAAATGTGTCTAATTTTTTCTATATTTTTGAAAATTTCTATATTTATTTCTATTTTTAAATTTTTATTACCTAACTATGACTTCATAGGTTAATCAATTTGATTCGGATGGTTGAATTGCTTAGTCACCACTTGGTTAAAAAATGGTTTTGTTTTTTAGTTAGCTCTAAAATATATGAGTTTATATTATTAAAAATATTGGCATATATCTAATTAATAGCATTTATTAGTGAAAAATGACTTAAATATAAGATTTAATAAGAGAAAATGGGATTTAATACCTTAAGTTTATGTTTGGTTTAAAGGAAAAGGTAGGGAAAGGAAGGGAAAGGTAGGGAAACCTTTATTGTATAGGTTTCCTTGTCTTTCCCTTCCTTTCCCTACTTTTTTCCTTTGAACCAAACATAGCCTAAGTATAAGATTTAATGAGAGGGAATTAAACGAGGTGGAAATTAATAATTGAAGTTATATTTTCAACCTTTACAATTAGAGATAGATTAATTACATAAATATGAGAATTTTAATAGTCATTAAAACTGGCATTAAAATTATATTAAAAGGACTTTTATACCCTTTTTCAAACAAAGAAATAGAGGATAATTTTAATTCAAAAAGAATTTCACACTACATCCACACTTTTATATAGTATAGATATAGATAATACAACACATAGACCCATGTCAGATTCAACACTTTTTCTTTTGTTAGATGTGTTTGTCTTGTTTTTTTTTTTTTTTTGTTAGATATGTTGGATTCAATTCCAATGGCACTATGGTGAATTCACATTTGCTTCCTACAAGTGCCCCACAACATATCCCAACTATGTATTGAAAACATTTACCAATGACAACTTAGGCGGTGTTTGGCACTGCGTTCATCTCATTTCGGTCCCATCCACGAGATAAAGACCCGTTCGGTTGGGTGTGGATGGGACCAGTCCATGCTATATCATGGACCAGCCCTGTCCACACCCCAATATAGCGTCAACGGGAAAAACTCATAGATATGTCCCCTCCACGGTTTATTTTTGATCTCATGCTACACTGACTCCCTTCTTCTTCGAGATGCGGTAGTCGTAATGATCGGTGCTTGCAACTAGGAAGTGAGTGAGAGGAGGCGTTCTTCCGAGTATGACTCCTGTCTGATACCTTAATAAATGGTTCAGGTGATGACCGCCAATTTCAGTTTTGCTCAACCAATGAAGGAAAACATGGGGGGTCTGTAAACAGTTGGAGGAGCCCGAGAATGGTGAAGGGAGTCAATGTAGATGATAGAGGATGGGAGAAAAAAAATAGTGTGAAATCGTAGATAAAATGGAAGGAAGATGGGTGGGTGTTGTGGCTGCGAAGTCTCCTCTATGGTCGGAGAGCAGAGTTGGACAACGGTCTGAGAGCGATGCGAATAGGGAGAAGGAGAGGAAGAAGAAGAGGAGAAGAATAGGAGGAAGAAGAAGGAATAAAGAAAAAGGAGAGAGAGAGAGAGAGAGAGAGAGAGTGAATGGGGGGAGATTTTGGTTGCCACCACCGCATTGTTCTCATATAAGGAGTAAGGAGATGAATAGTGCCTCCTTCGAATTAGGTTAAATTAGAAAGCTTGGTCAGTTTTGATAATATGGATAAGGGTAGTTTGGTAACTTTAGAGAAGTTTGTGGGTAATTTGATAATTTTGGAAATTCAAGGGTAATTTGGTTAATTGGGGTCTAAAGAGGTCAAGCTCAAGCCGGGCAATTTAATTATTTTATTATTGTTTTATAAAAAATAATATTTATTGGTTAATATTAATTCATTGATGCATTTTTTAAAATATTTATCTTATAAAATGCAAAACTTAGATATTTATGATTAACTGTGTATATCATTAATAAAATGTATATGAGATATATGGAATAAAAAGTGTGATGTAGAATGGTCCACACCATGCTACAGAACGTCACTGTGAGTGTGAATTGGTCAAATTTATATAGTTTGTTCACAATTCAGAATAGCTATGAACTGTGGTATAGTGTGAATTGGTCCTACCATAAGGTGTAGTGTGAACTAGTTCACACCCACCAATTTCTCATCCACACCATTAGACCTGTTCATGGGCCGGGTAGCCCGACGGCCCGGCCCGCACCCCGGCTGGGCTTGGTCATATAATTAGGCCCGCGGGCCTGACCTCGGGCTTAACACAGTAAGCCCGACTGTGTTTCGGGCCGGGCTCGGGATTTGTCAAAAAAGCCCGACCCGAGCCCGGCCCGACCCG